TATAGGAGGAACTCTATCCAAACCAACAACCTCCCATAGGTTTTAATTAATTTTAATTAATTAATTTCAAATTAATAAATATGAATAAAAGCAATTCATATTTCCATAACTGGGGATAAACTGTTTAAAGTTCAATTAATGATGGGCCATTCCGGTTTTCTTGGGAACTTGTTTTGGTTTTGTAATGTTGCTTTGTTTTCCTTTTTTTTCTGCTTCCTAAACGAAGGATTTCAGTGTGGGCAGAGAGACAGACGAGGGAATTCACTTCAACAGAGTTGCTAAGTACCTCGGGATTCCTGCTCAGGGCTCGCGTCAATGGAAACAGCGGGTTATCCCAGTCTGACCCACCGAAAGCCTCAGTAGGAAGAACGGGTGGAGCCCTGATATCCGGTGGGGACAGCTGGGGGAAGCGGATGGGGGAAGGAATGCCCAGGTGCGCGAGGGGAATCGAGGTTAAGTGCGGAGCTGAGGTCCAGGTGGCCAGCTTGCAGGGTGGCCCTGGGCCACACGAGGGCGCCCCACACTGCCACGTAAGGGCCTGAAGTGCCTGTAAGGCGTTATGTCGGAGGAAAGAAGGTGGGAATAGACCATCCTGGGTGCCCAGCGTGCCCAGACACAGGCACCTCTCTTCCTGTGTCTGGAAAGCTTGAAGGTCGGCATGATGTCTCTCTAGACTCTAGAAACAGCCGGCGTTCAGGTCCCGAGGAATTAATGCCTCTGTAGATCAGGTCCATCTGTGTGTGGGAGGGCTGGGTGTGTTGGGAATGACTGCAGTACCGGGGTGTGAGGGTGGGCGCGTTTCTACAGGGTTGTAGGAGGGAGGGAGTGGACGTTTCTAACCCGGGGAGCTGGGACTAGTGTCCTCTATGAGCAGCACTTGAAGCAGAATGTAACCACGGGTAGAATCACAGGCTTTCCCATTCCTGTTGGAGACAGCGGGGGGATGAATGGTTGCTTTAGCCAAAATGCTGGGATAAATGGCTCCCTCCAGCCAGCAGAAGCTTCGATCCCCTAGAGCATCAGACCCTGGAGCCTGTCCAGTCACGCAGCTCAAGAGCCTGGTGTCACCAAGATTTGCCCAGGGGCACAGCGGAGATCTCGTGACCCAGGAAATAACACTGGTCTTAGTTTAGATCAGGACATTTTTCCCTGAAAGCTGCGTGGGGCAGTGGCCTGGCGCCCAGACTGGAGTATGGGAGGGGCAGCTGGAGGCTTCTGCCCACAATCACCTTTGCCACCCAACAGCTCCTTCACATGAATCGGCTCTGCAGGCCGTACCCTGGCCCGGAGGCTCAGCCGGGGATTTGAAGGCATTAGATTTGGTAGATATTAAACCCAGGATGTGAGCTGCAGGCCGGTAGGCTGAGGCCCTTACATGGGAAGAGGAAGTACTGACAACCGGGTATCAGTAAGCCCCAGGGGTCCCAGATGCTGAAAAAACGGGGGTGGGGGGGGGGGGGGGGAGAACAGACTCTTCAGGGCCCAGGAGATTCTCAGTTGGCCAAAGAGCAACAGGAAGGGTTAGTTCCTTGACTAGACACCTCTCCGGCCCAGCCCCTTCACACATCAGCCTGGCCCAGGCAGCTGCAGTTCCTGACCAGAGGGACTGAGAAATGAGAGGAAGCAGCTTTCTGGAGGCTGCCTCTAGGAGAAGGGAGAACCGCAGGGAGCAGGTACCCAAGGTCATCTGGGAGTAGTACAAGGGTCAGGCCTGAGGGGATTGAAATTTCAGGTGGGGGGGGGGTATAGCGAGCATTTGCTTAGGAGGTCCTGGGCTCAAGCATGAACACTGGCAACCTTCCTCTCAGCAGACCCGCAAAGGGTCATGTGACCTTGATGAACAGGAATGACTTAACCCAGCTCAACCTCAGTTTCACCAGCTGCAGAGTAACTACCCTGCAGGTGTTTGCAGGGTCAAGCATCAGAAGGGGGAGAGCAGCTGATTCGAAATACATACTGTCAGGGCATGCTGGCTCGCACCTGTGATCCCAGCACTTAAGAGGATAAGGGAGGAGAACCAAGGTGCTTTCGGACCAGCCTGAACTACAGAGTTCCAGGTTAGCCTGAGCTAAGGTGAGCCTGCAAATAAAATATAAAGAAAACAAAAATTCTGTTGGTTTAGTTGTTGTCTTTGCAATGACCAGAGCCCTAGGAGGGCTGGGCTTCTCTCCCTCCTCAACAGTTGGCCCGGGGTTCCACAGAGAGCAGTCCTATAATTTGCCTGCATAAGTGCGATAATACGAGGTCAATAGTAAATTGGGTGTGGTGGTGCACACCCAAAGTCCCTGCCACTCGGGAGGGAGAAACGAGAGCTCAGAAGTGTAGGGCCATCTAGGCAACATCCTGAGACTGTGAAGGAAAGAGGAGAAGGAAGAGAAAACATTAACAATAAGTGTAAACCAGGTGGGGTGTCGTATGCCTGTAATCCCAACACCCCCAAGACTGAGGCAGGAGGCTGTCAAATTTAAAGAGAAGCCTGGGCTACATAGTCAGATCCTGCCTCAAAAGACAATCAGGGCTAGAGAGATGGCTCAGTGGCTAAGAACACTGGGTGCTCTTTCAGAGGACCTGGGTTCAAATCCCAGCACCCACATGGTGACTCACAACCATCTAAAACTAGTTTCATGAATTTCAATGCTCCCTTCTGGTGTGTTGATACACATGCAGACAAAGAACAATATACATAAATAAATAAATCTTTTTTTTTTCTGAGACAGAGTTTCTCTGTGTAGCTTTGGAGCCTGTCCACTTTGTAGACCCCTCTATCTCACAGAGATCCGCCTGCCTCTGCCTCTGCCTCTGCCTCCTGAGTGCTGGGATTAAAGGCATATGCCACCGCCGGCTAAATAAATAAATCTTTCAAAACAAAACAAGAGGACTGAAGAGATAGCTAAGCGGTTAAGAGCACTGACTGCTCTTCCAGAGGACCTGAGTTCAAATCCCAGCACCCACATTGCCGCTCACAACTGTCTGTAACTCCAAGATCCGAAACCCTCACATAAACATAATGCAGGCCAGGCAAAACACTAATACACATAAAAATAAATGAAATGTAAAAAACCAAGAACAGGGCTGGAGAGATGGCTCAGAGGTCGAGAGCACTGGCTACTCTTCCAGAGGACCTGATTTCATTCACAGCAACCACATGGTGGCTCACAACCATCTGTAATGAGATCTGGTGCCCTCTTCTGTACTGCAGGATACATGCAGAAAGAACCCTGTATACATAATTAAAAATCTAAAAAAAAAAGAACAGAAACAAACAAACAAAACAAACAAATGAACAGAAGCAAAGGTAAAACCCATTTGATGCCGAGTCAGCCTGATTTGATCCCCAGATCTATACAGTAGAGGAAGAAAATCAGCACTGTCAGGATGTCTTCTGATCTCCACATGCATTCCCCCCTCCGCACAAGTAAACAAATGCAATTAATTTAAAAATAAATAAATGAAATATTGACCTAGTGGGAGGCTAGAGCAGAGGATTGGAAGTTCAAAGCCTGCCTGGATGGTAGGATGGTTCAGTTCAGTTTGAGTAACTTAGCAAGACATCATCAATAAATAAATAAATAAATAAATAAATAAATAAATAAATAAATAAAGGTAAGAATTATTTTTAAAAATAAGAAACATTTAAAAACACAATATGTTTTATTTTATTTTATGTGTATATCTGTGTTGGGGGGTTGGTTACCCATGGAGGCCAAGAGATCTCCTGGAGTTGGAGCTACAAGCGAGAGTGAGCGGGACACGGGTGCTAGGAACCATGCTTGGGTTTTCTGGGAGAAGAGCAAGCACTCATAACCACCATGCCGTCGCTCCAGTGCCTCAGAAATAAAAGAGATCTAAAGGCCTGGAAATACATCTCCATTGCAGAGCACTTCGCCTAGCGTGTGTGAGAACCTCGGTTCAATTCCCAGGACTACGGGGGAAAAAAATAAGTGAAATAAATTGTCCCTTTACTCTAACTTGGCTTGAAGTGCAGCTTCATGGCAGATGTGCAAGGTTCTGAGTTCAATTCCAGCAATAAAAATTAAAGGTTAAAGAAGTTACTACTAAGTCACCCCCTGGCAGTGGGGTTCTTATCTCTGTTAGCAGGAGGCCTCTGGAGACCGCCTGGGTCTGTAGGGGTGGATTCATTGGCTAGTGGCTGGGCCTAGATCACATGGGATGTTTCTCTGCTGGACCTCACCAAGGGAGGACATAGAACATTCAGGTCGTCTAATCAGGAAGAGGCTGGGGGCTTCCTATTACAGTGGGGCTGGCGGGGACCCTCTGTATTTCCATCAAGTGAGTGCAAAGCTAGTGTTTTCTATGACAGAGGGCCCGGCAGAAGAGCAAGGGATCATAGCTCTCTTCCCCGTGGCTCGCCCGGCGCTCCCATCTTCCCTTTCGTTTCTGCTCAGCAGAACCCCACTAGGGGATCTGGGGAAGTGTCCCTTGGGCTCCTGGCTCGGAATGCCTTGAAAGCAGGGGCAGGGTGGAGGGAAGGGGCTTTCTGTGAACCCCGTCCAGGACAGGGAGTTGTGAGTGGGCACCTCCCTGGGACCAAGTGTCAGTAGATGGGTGCCCACCCTATCAGTCGGCACCTGCTGCCTAACCTGGCAGGCACCCTGTGTTTCTACAAGACCCCACCCTTCAGCCCTGCTGTTCAGCCTCCCCTATCCTCCTCAGGCTCACGCTGTCTCCCCCTCCTCTCCCCCACCCGCCCCGCCCCATTCTCCTCTAAGCTGCCTTTATTTCCAGACCAGATGGCCCAATTTTAAATGAAATCTTGCACGCAGTCCTGCCTCCTTCTAGTCTGGTGCACAAACTACATCAGAGAGAAACGGCTGAAAACAGACCGATGCCCCACCCCACCCCCAGCTTAAAGGCCTCCCCTGGGACCCCGTCGGCCACCAGCTAAAGCCCAGGGTCTCCAGAATGGTCTGCTATGCCCCATGTGGTCACCTTGCCCTGCTTTCCTCTCTGGCCTCATCTTGTACCCATTCCCTTTACCTATCGCACTGGCCCCCCACTGAGATGGACCTGTCCACGCCCGCCCGGCAGAGATCAGGCCTCCTGTCTTCCAGCACTGGCACACACGGATACATCCCTGAAGGTGGAAGTGAGTATTGTCACATTGCCACATTAGGGGTCCCTTCTTCAGGGAGGGCACCATTGGCCTCCTCATCTGTCCCATTTAAGACAGGCCGCAGAGTCACCTTTGACACTGAGTATTTCAGGCTTTTATGACACCACATTTAAGCTTACTAATTTACTTTATGGTCTGCCTCCCCTTTAGTCTATATGCCACTACAAGTTACGACTTATTTGCTGTCGAACCTCCTGAGCCAGGCACAGTGCTCACCCATGGCAGGCAGGGAGCAGTAACAACAGAAATGTGGACAGGAGCCCACGTTTACTCAGCACCTGTGGCTGAGTGCCAGGAATTGTTCAGGGTGCCTTCCAGGCACAACGCTGTCCACTCTAGGCTGAGCAGCAGACCCAACCCGCCCCCACCTGTTTCCTGTCTCTCCCTGACAGAAGACTTTTCAGAACGGCCCTTCCCAGGCCTTCACTATGCAGGCCCCTACAGATAGGATCAACACAGGGACCCTCACACGGGATCTGGAAGTAGGGGGAAGGACAGAGCTAACTTCTGCTGCCTTGGCTGGTTCTCTGGCAAAGCAGGGCCAGGCAGATGAGTGTTCTTTCCTGCAACAGGGTCTGGTACCCAGTTACCACCCCGGGAGCCAGAGGGCAGTTGGCAACTGCAATGAGGCTGTGTCTTCTGGAACTCAGCCAGATGGGTGGAGCCCGGACCTCAGTAGAGCCACTGGTAGCTTTGGACGCTTAGACAGCCCTGCCTCTGCCTCCTGCCCCACCCCTATCTCAAATCACTTTCTGTTCAGAACTCCTCCAGCGGCCGCGGTGTGCTGAGTGCCGCTGACTCATCCCACTCTTCTTACCCTCATTTTAGAGGCCCAGAGCCACGTGGCCAGGGAGTGCCAGGCTTGACCCCAAGTTTTCATGACCTCAGGGCACCAGTCCATCTTCTTACTGTATTGTGGGCTGTGCGATACTCCATGCCAAGTGACAGAAACGTCGCAGAGCGATCCTGTGCAAAGGGCTGGGCTAACCCCATAAAGGCAGGTGCCCAAGGGGTCTGGCACCTCCTGGGCAGCACGTTCAGCTCAGCATCCTGGGATAGTCTCCAGACTGACCTGACCCAGATGGGATGTGTGGGGTGCCTGGGAGAGCCGGACTGACAGGTCCTGACGTCATGCTCATGGGAGAGATATCCCCTTTGTTCATCTCATTGTTGTCGCCTAATTGCAGTGACCCAATCTGTGTACCGTGGATGCCTGGACCACGCGGTTTAGACCTTGGAAACCTCAGGGAGACAACAACACACATCAGAAGGAGGGAGCCGATAATGGGAGTGTGTTCCTCAGTCAGAGTCCTCGAGAGCTAAAGCAATTGAAAGCAGAGAGAAACTGAAGGCCGATGCGCCTAGCACAAATTATAAACTCAGTCTACAGGAGGAAAATAAATCTGATGAGAATTCCTGGGCTGGGGAGATGCTTGGCGGTAAGGCGTCAGCCATGCAAACAGGAGGACCTGAGTTCAGGGTTTAGTGACAGAGAGGAGAGAAGGAAGTGGGGTGGGAGGGGGAGAAGGAGGGAGAGAGACGTAAACCAAATACATAAATGTAATTACAAATAAATAAATAAAGCCAGTTGGTATCTTTAATCCAAGCACTCATGAGGCAGAGACAGGTGGATCTCTGTCGATTTGAGGTCAGCCTGGTCTAAGAGCACATTTGATCCCTAGCACTAACACACACACACACACACACACACACACACACAAACACAGAGAGAGAGAGAGACAGAGAGAGAGAGAGAGAGAGAGAGATTGAGAGAGAGAGAGAATTTTTATTCCTTTTAGGCAGATGATTTAAAAGGTTAGGAAACTGCTGGGCCGTGATGGTGCACACTTTTAATCCCAGAATTTAGAAGACAGAAGCAGGTGGATCTCAGTGAATTTGAGACCAACCTGGTTCACAGAGTGAGTTCTGGGACAGCTAGGGATATTACACAGAGAGACCCTGTCTCAAAAAACAAAACAGACCAATAAGAAAGAGGAGAGGGGGGCTATTCACCACAAGTCTTAAACCAGGCAATGGTGTCAAACTCCTTTAATCCTAGCAGAGGCAGGAGGATTTCTGTGAGTTCAAGGCCAACCTGGTCTACAGATCAAGTTCCAGGACAGTGGAGCCTACATAGAAAAACCCAGTGTCAAAAAGCAAACAGAAAAGAAATCTCTTATTAATACTTCAAGGAAACTATAGGTTACCAAATTCTCATTGTGATATGCTTAATTTTATTTTACCATTATTTGTATGTATTTAAAATATACATGTACATGTGTGTACAGGTATGAACACATATGCATATTAAGGTCAGAAGACAATGTCAAGTGTCTTCTTCACTTGTAAAGTAAGTATTTGTCCTTACTTTAGACTAGGGTCTCTCTAGCATCTCTAATTTATGCTTGATGTTATTATTATTTTTTAAATGCAGGGTCTCAAGTATCAGATACTGACCTTGAACTTGCTATGCAGCTGAAGGTGACCTTGAATTCCTAATCATTTTGCCTCTACAGTGTTGGCATCGCAGGTGTGTACCACCACACCTGGTTTATGTGGCGGTAGAGATGGAACCCAGGTGCTGTGGACTATTAGTTTAAGACATGTTACATTTGTTTATGCTGTGGACCATTTGTTTAATGATACAAAGATGTGTTGCATGTTTTTGCGTTACATTTGTTTAACTCTGTGAAGCTGTGTTAATTTGCCTGTCTAAAACACCTGATTGGTCAAATAAAGCGTTTAATGTCCAATAGCAAGGCAGGAGAGAGAAATAGGTGAGGCTGGCAGGCGGAGAGAATAAATAGGAGGAGAACTCTGGGAAGATCAAGGAGTAAGAGAAGGCAGAGAGGAGGACTTCATGGGCCAGCCACCCAGCTACACGGCAAAACATGGAGTAAGAAGTTAAAAAACACACATAGAACAGAGAAAGACAAAAGAGGTAGACAGGATAATTTATGTTAAGAAAAGCTGGCTAGAAACAAGCCAAGCTGAAGCTGGGCATTTATAAGTAAGAATAAGCCTCCATGTATTTATTTGGGAACTGGGTTACAGGCTCCCCAAAAGAGCAAAAAGTCAAAGGAGAGGGAAAAAAAAACAAAAAACAAACAAAACCCTACACCCAGTTATTCCTACACACTAAACTCTCTTCCAACTGAGCTATATCCCAGTCCCCTAGTTCTAGTTTTGACATTAAGACTTTAAAAACCAAGCTGGATACAGTGACATACCTTTAATCCCAACATTAGGGAGGCAGAAGGAGTTGAATTTCTGTAAATTCAAGGACCCCCTGTTTTCCATAAAGAGCACCAGGCCAGGCCAGCCAGAGCCACATAGTAAGACTTTGTCTCAAAATAACAGCAGCATGCCTGTGACTTATCTTTTCAGAGTCACCAGGCTGTCACAGGATAAGGAGATGATCAGGAGAGCCACATGAACCTCTTTCTCCTCGTCCAGATCCAGGTCACCTGGGGTCACAGGGAGCCTGGGACCTGAAAGTCTAGCAGAGCAAAGAAGAAACTGCTGTATCCACCCACCCGAGGCATCTCACTGGGCCTCTGCTGAGGATGTGTCTGTGGGAGCCGCTGTCCTTCTCACAACAGCCTTCCACAGGGAGAGAAATGCATCCCTGACCTTCAGAGAACCAGACACACCTGGATTTTCACTCCAGCCTAAGTGAGGCAACAGAAGGAAGTATCAGAAGTAAACCAAAAAAAGTAGAATCATTCTAGAGGAGCGGGCAGGAGAAACTGTCGGTAAGAGGCATCTGGAATTCATATCTCCGAGAAAGAAAAATGAAGGAGATAAAATAAACAGCTCAAGGCTGGGAAGGACCGGAGAGCTAACAGGGCCATTGAGTAAGGAAGTAGATGAGCTTCTGATCGGGAGGCACAGCCACGTGGGATTGTAGAAAAGGGTCATCATCTTCGGTGGCCGAAGAAATAGTGCTAGCACTTGGGAAGTAGTTGCTAGGAACTATGTCGAAAACCTGACTCATGGACACCACCTACCGATTCCTTCTTGGCAGATACTAAACTCTTGGAAGCTCACACTCTGCTGCTACAACCAAATGTTCACCTAGAATAATTCTTTTCAAGCAACAACCGTTTTTCTTAACTTCAGATTATGTTACATGTAATCAATGTACAATGCCATAAAGGATTCTACAAGACCTAAATGAAAATGGTACTAGAAGGGACCGACTTGCTTTTGAAGCAAGATTGTATACAAACTATTTTACTTAACTACTTAACATACATTATTTTTATTTATTTATTTTCAAGACAGGGTTTCTCTGTGCAACAGCTCTGGCTGTCCTGGAACTCATTCTGTAGACCAAGTTAGCTTTAAACTCAAGAGATCTGCCTGCCTCTGCCTCCTGAGTGCTGAGATTAAAGGCGTGTGCCACCACTGCCTGGCTGTAAGATACATTCTTAAAACAAACAAACAACAAACAAAAAAACCCACTTTGTAATAACAATCCTGTGTGCATGCATGCACATTCATGCATGTAGAGGCCAGAAGTTGATGTCAGAATCTTTTTGTTGTTGTTGTTGTTGTTTGTTTGTTTTTTGAGACAGGGTTTCTCAGTAAGTATGGAACCAGTCTTGGAACTCACTCTGTAGACCAGGCTGGTCTCAGCCTCATAGAGATACGCCTGCCTCTGCCTCCTGAGTGCTGGAATTAAAGGTGTGCACCAGCACTGTCTACTTGAGAGGCAGAGGCAGGTGGATCTCTGTGAGTTCAAAACCAACCTGGTCTACAGAGCAAGTTTCAGGGCAGTCAGGGGCTATACAGAGAAACCCTGTCTCAAAACAGAACAATAAAACCAAAACATTATTTCTTCTGTGTATTTTACATGCTGAGTTCTTTACTGTTTTTAATAGTTTTAAATACTATTTATTAATTAGAATTCCTATTTATTTAGCTGTTTTTGAGGCAGGGTCTCACTGTGTAGTCTTGACTGTCCTGGAACTCAATATGTAAACCAGGCTGAACTCACAGAAATCTACCTGACTCCTCCTCCCTTCAGCCCTATCCCCCACCCTCCCCCAGGACTGGGATTAAAGGCATGCACTATTCCACTACACCTGGCTCTTAATTTTTTTGTTTGTTGTTTGTTTTTAAGACAGGGTTTTACTCTGTAACCCTGTCTGTCCTAGACTCACGCTATAGACTAGGCTGGCCTCAGACTCACAGAGACCGGCCTGCCTCTGCTGGGACTACCACCACTACCCAACTATTAATATTCTTGACATATATGCTTGAATAGCTCATGAAAATTGAGAGACATTAAATGAACCTCACCAACAGCTTAAGTTAATTTGGTTTCGGTGCCCAATCCATCCAGTATTAGCAATGCTACAGATGTGTGCCTGAGGATATAGGCTCAGTGGGTAGAGTGCTTGGCCAGCCCTCATGGCACAAACGAGATGTCATGGCACACTGGGCAAGCTCAGCAACCAGAGGTGGGGAGGGGAGCATGCCACATTTAACACATGTAGGCAGCAATGATCCTCCTTCCCCTCCTAGTGTTGGGGCTGCAGTGCACACCACTGTACCTGACTTTGGCAGGGCTGACGATCAACCCAGCACTTCATGCTCGCTAGTCCGGCACTGACAACTGCACAACAACCCCAGACAATCAAAACATTGTCTCTATCTAGAGCAAGCATGAGTTCAAGACCCTGACTACATGCTGGGATGTGACAAAAACACAGGGCTCCATCCCTAGAACTGCTGGGAAGGATGGAGGGGAGGGGGGAGGGGAGAATAAAAACATTTCTGCCTAGGGTAGGAAAGTGATTAAAAAAGCAAACATAGTTGACCTGAGGACTTAGCTGATGTGGGATGTCCTTCAATATATGTGTTGCTTTTATTGGTTGATGAATAAAGCATTTTTGGTCAATAGCTTGGCAGAGTAAAGCCAGGTGGGATATTCAAACAGAGAAAGAGAAAGTAGGCGGAATCAGAGAGATGCCATGTAGTTGCTGAAGGAGAAAGATGCCAGAACCTTACCAGTAGGCCCCAGCCTCATGGTGATACACAGATTAATAGAAATGGGTTAATTTAAGATGTAAGAAGTAGCTAGGAATATTCCTAAGCTATTGACCAAGCAGTGTTGTAATTAATATTGTTTCTGTGTGATTATTCGGGTCTGGGTGGCAAGGAAACAAACGTGCAACCTCCACTTACACTTAGCTTTTTGGATTCAACCCAGGACCTTACCCACTTGAGATGAGCACTCCATCTCCAGCCAGCAGGCTCTTTTCCTACTTCCCTATTCTGTTCTTCCTCACACTTCCTCCCGCACCCTCCCTGGTTGGCCTCAAATGACCTCTCCACCTCCTACCCCGGAGCTAGGACTACACAGCTCGGGCTAGAGCTACAGCTCCATTACCTAGCCGCTTTAGGGGTTCAGGGTGAGAAGGTCAACTGGGCAAATTCTTTTTTTTTTTTTCCTACCAAATTAGTTGCATAAGCTTTTCATTTATCTTTTGGAAGAAGTCTCAAGTAGGCTTTCTTAAGGTCTTTTTAGGAGCTTCCTCATGACCAAAAATAGGCGCCTAACTTGGGAGCATTTACTGTTACCTCTTTCTGTCTCTCTTGTCAAAGAAGTTGAAGATAAGCCTACCACCTACAGTGGACTCTTGAGCCGTGAGTCTATACAGTAGCTGGTGTGGGGATTAAGTTTCTTTGCAGGACTCCAATTGGAATAGGGAAAAGGAACTCCACATACTTGGCCACAGAGTCATTTTGTATTGAGTATGAGCATGCAGAACTATAGTCTGTTTGTGCTATGGAGCAGCCCACAAGCCTCCAGCAACTCACTGATCTGTCGACAGCTCTCGCTGCTTGTTGAGTTTGGCCTGTGGACTTTACGGTCCTCACCATGCAGTGTTGTGGTCATTTCCTTGTATTGCTCCCTACAGACTGAAAGCTGCTGCGGAACAGAGACCAGGCTCGCCCAGGGTATAGCCTAGTAGCAGATTTGCCAATCACTTGCACCACTGGTCCACACTCGATTGTTCTGCAAGCTTTTCTCGGGTAGTGTGGTTCCACCCTGCCTGTTGTTGGAGGCCGCGTTAGTTCCCTGCCTCTTAGACCCAAAATAATCACTCAGAAACTATATTATTTGCAATTGTTTGTCCAATAGCTTAAATGTATTGCTAGCTAGCTCTGACATCTAGAATTAACCAATTTTTATTATTTTATATTTCATCATGAGGTTTGTGACCTACCAGCAAGGTTCCAACAGAGACTTGCATCTTTCCCCTCTGGCGGTTCCATGGCGTCTCTTGACTCTGCCTACTTTCTCCCAGCATTCAGTTTAGTTTTCCCCTGCCTAGCTCTGCTCTACTAAGCCATTGGCCGAAACAGTTTCTTTATTCATCAATGGTATTCACAGCATACAGAGGGGAATCCCACATCACCTGCCTTTTCTGTAAGCATGGCCCTCCTGCAGAAACCTCCTTAGACTCTAAAAATCAAAAAGCGACTCTCATTTTGCATGTTATTCCTTGCTCCCCATCTCAGGCTAGTCCAGTAGAGATCTGGTGGTTCCCCTTGCAGCACTAGCAAAGGGCACACTGGAGGTGGTGTGGGACAGAGGGCAGGGTGTTCTGGAACAGGTCTTGTGGAATGGGGCAGTTGGGGTGGAGAACAGGCTGAGGATTGGCACTGGAGGACGGCCAGTGGACAGGAGATATCAGGGAGGGGCCCTGTGGAGCAGGCCAGGAAGTTTGGACTTTATCCTCAAGCAGTAGGGTTTTATTTAGGTAGAGGAGTGACACGATTTTTATTATTTTTATTTTTATCTTTATTGCATTTGTTTAAAGTTATAAAAGTTGAATAGTTTTTTTAAAAAATTTAATTTAAAGTAACAATGCTAAGAAATTTTGTCCTTTCAGAAAAATCTTTTTGGCAACGGTGTCGGAAGGGGATAAAGTACAGAGTTAGGAGGAGCCGCCAGGGAGGTTATTAGGAAGCAGGCCAACTGCGGGGAGAGCAGATGTGGTGGACTATCAGGTCTGGAAGATGATAGGTATGTGGGGGCAGTTAGGGGAGATAAGGCTGAACACACAAGTGCCCAGCTTTAGGAAGCTTCTGCTGCAGGAGGCTTGTGGACGCACCCATACCATTTGAGAAACAAAATAGTACGTGGAGTTTTATTTACTTGTTTATTTTTGAGATAGGGACTCACTTTGTAGCTCTGGTTGTCCTAGAACTATGTAAACCAGGCTGGCCTCAAATTTACAGAGATCTGCCTGTCTTTGCCTCCCAAGTACTGGGACTAAGGAGAATTTAGTATTGCAAATTTACATTCATTGTGCACGTGTGTGGTTTGTGTGTGTGTGTGTGAGAGAGAGAGGGAGACAGAGAGAAAGAGAGAGAGAGAGAGAAAGAGAGAGAGAGAGAGAGAGAGAAAGAGGTGTGGAAGTCAGAGGACAATTTACAATTTTTGGGAATCAGTTCTGTTCTACCATGTGGGTTCTGGGG